CCTAAACCCCTAAACCCCTACCCCCTCTAAACCCTAAACCCTAAAGTGGATTGGGTGGGCTGGGCCTGGTCTCAACGGTTCAGGGGGGTTTAGGGTTTAGGGTTTAGGGTTCTTTTTTTAAAGTGTAATGGGGCGGGGTTTAGGGTTTAGGGTTCAGGTTTAGGGTTTAGGGTTTAGGGTTCAACTCACCGAGAAGTCGACCGAATCTCGACACCGAGCCTGCCCTCAGGCCGTCGAAATGCACGTCAGCTGGTCATCTACCTGCGCATCCAAAAACTTTGGAGTTTAGGGTTGAGGGCATAAGACCAACGAAAAAGCTATAGTCTGCATTGGGGTGAAGTTTCCACACAGGATCCTACATTGAACACACTACTCGGTTCAAACTGGACACGTCGCAATTACCAGTCTGGCGCAGCAAGAAAGTGTGGAGCCGGGATTCTTTGTTTGGATCACCAATAAAGCCCGTGGCCCCAATGTCCAGGGACCGCAAAAGCAATCCGAATGTCGAGAAACGCGATAGGAATAGAAAGGTCGTATGAAGCGTAGAGGACTGAGGAACATTGAAAGTGATTGAACAACATAAAGAAATTTCATAACGCTTCTGTCCTAAAGGCTGAAACCGAAACCCTAAACCGTAAGCCACAAACCGCAAACCGTGGGTCAGCCGGGTCAGTGGCCGAGACCTGGCAGGGGGTTGGGTGGTGTACTCTGGTAAGATTATAAGAAGGAGCCCCATTATACTCCTTGCACGATCGCAGGACTTAGTCAGTAAGGTTACAAGTTCCCTACGTGGGTTCATAAATACTTGTAGCTATACGTAACATGCTTGCAACATCTTGTAGCCCAACCAGCCAGATCCCTTATTCTTCAAGCACCCATCAGCGGCCCTACCCAAGAGAAAGACGATGGTAGAAGAAAACATGAGTTGTAATGAGTTGTCCTCGGAAAATTGAAAAAGCACTGAAATCCTGAAGACAGCATGACAAAGAAGGCTGGGCGTTCATTGCGAGCATGTGCTGCGTAGTG